GATATGGTGTATTGAATGACAAAAAATGATTCAATTTTAAGCAGGTCTTACACACTTCTAAACATAATATATTAATTCCCATGATATAGCAAACATAAAAATATTCATTTTAAGAAGTAATTATATATATAAAATATCAATGTAACTTATTAAACCATATTTAGAAGTACAACAAAAATGATCAGATTATCCTGACTTTTGAAGGAATCTATATGTAATCAATGACATATAATTTATACCAAAATATTAAATACAAAAGGAGATATATATTTGAAAATTAATTACTGTATGCTATGTATAATTTTGGTATATATTTAGCAATATTATTGTATTATAAATGGTCTACGCTATGATAAAAATATTGAATATTGTTTTACATAAATATATTTTATATTAGGCGTATTAGGCAATAATTTTGGAAAAAAATTAATACATATTTATTGCTCTAGATTAAATAATTTTATATAAATCTTTTTATAATATCTTTAAAAAATTAATATTAATCATAATATATTTAATTAAAAATATAATAAATATTTACTATATCAAAATATATAAGATAATAGCATTATTATTAATATTTTAACAATATATATTATTTAAATTTATGACTTTTTTAGTGGAGTCATACATAAATGGGAACATTTTTTATTTTTCGCTATTTTGGTTTTCGCTGTTTCGTACCGAATTTAACACAACTGGTTTAGAGTGTATAGCTACTATAGGTAATAAATATTATTTATATTTTGAGGAAAATTACATAATATACTCTTTTTTCTGAACTAATTTATTTTTTTATGTTTTTTTTTATATATGGGATGGGTATTATATGACTTTCTCCTTTGTAATAAATTGTAGTATTTTTAATTTTTTTTTAAAATATAATGAATAAAAATCAAGAAATAGTTAAAAAATTACATTCTCAAGAATACAAATTATTAGCAAACAAGGTCTGGGATTCTTTTAGTATAATAATAGACAATCATAATAATAAAATCGGATATGTCCAATGCAAATAAAGTAGGATCATCCCATTTATCAAGACATAAATGTAAACCAAATCCTATAATTAAATTATCTTCTTTTTATCCAATTAAAAATGATAAAACTCATATACAAATGAAAAAAAGGAAGTTATCAATAGATGTGTAAAATTTTGTGCTGTGGATATTCGCCCATTCAATGTATAGCTGGTAAAGGCTTTAAACATTTAGCACAATATTTTATTGAAGTTGGTTCAAAGAAGGGTTTGATTGATGTTGAAAATATTTTGCCAAGTCCTATAACTATATCAAGGCATATGAATGATATTTCTCAAAATTTGCACAAAAAAATATTCCCAGAAATATATATGCTTTAATAAATTCTTTTTGTAGTGCAACAATTGATTTATACACAGATGACTTCAAAAAGTACACATATATAACATTAACTCTTCACTAAATAATTAAATGGAAATTAATAAAACGTGTTTTGTTTACTTCTCTTTTTTTAGAAGATAAAAAAACAAGTGAAAATATACACAAAGAACTTGTTTCTAATTTTGCTAAACTTGGATATGCTTCTGATGCATTTTATAAAATCACATTCATCACTGATCAAGATAGCAATTTGATAAAGGCTTTAGAACCATATAAACGGTTAAACTGTTCTGCTCATCTCATTAACACTATTCTAAATAGGGCTGTGCCGATCCACATATTTTTCACCGATCCGATCCGATATTGGTTCAAAGCCGATCCGATACCGATCCGATATTTATATTAATTTTTCACCACCCCTCTTTGAACCAAATGTAATTAATAAATCAATATTTTTTATGCATAATTTAATTTTTTTATTTCAACAATAATTTAAAAAAAAATATATAATAATATATCCATTTTATGTTGGTTTATAAAATTGTAATATTTAATATATAAAATTATAATATATTAGATTTTTTTTAATAAATATAAGAGCCTCTAGATTTTCAGGCGATAGGCTTCTACGATGAGGACTATCAATATCCCCTGCCGTACTGAAGGCAGACTCAGATAGACACTTGTTGCTGGAGGAGCCAAAAATTTACGTGCAAGTGTTGATAAAGTTGGATATTTTACAGTATTAACTCTCCAATATTCAAGTGGATTCACTGGGGATATAATATCAATATCATCAATGTTATTCGAGTTTTCTAAATAAATAACACAAATATAAAATTAGCATAATCGTGGGTTTCATACAAACCCAATCTTTTGTTGATTTTGAAAAATCACCCAAACAAATGGGTCAATCATAGCCCAACCAAGCAATATTTAAATTAATATGAAAAATATGTTGTTATACTTTCTATATATAAAGATTCTTTTAAATATTCCTTGATTTCTATTAGGTATGGCAGGTCATCATTTACATTACTATCGATTTCATTTATTACTAGTTTTTCTTTGATTTTCAATTTATAAGCATCCCTTAAATTAAATTTGCATTTTTTAATGTTATGTGGAACATTTTTCTCATTGTCATTACCTAAGTTAACAATAAAATCTAAATTTATTTTAAAAAATATAAAACCTGGCGAATCTTTATTAGAAATTGGAAGTTGAACATTATCATCACCTTTAAAAAAAGACTCACATGCAGTCCTGAGCTTTTCTATGTATGATATGTTTTTTGGCAAAAAGAAATCCTTATATCGAGGATCAAGTAATGTTGCGACAACATAATTGTCATCATCATAAATATCAAAAAACCGAGTTGTTAATTAATTATTAGTGGTATTCTTCATAGTCTGCACACCTCTATCTGTGTCCCCATTAATTGTTAATTCACTTCAGAATTTCAACAAAGGGTATAACATTGCTAATTGAACATGATTCCGTACTTATTTCTTTTGTTACTCTCTGAATTGGTTCAAGAACATCAATTACCCTTTCTGCTAATTCCCACTCATATAATGAGAGATTTCCCAAATTAGGATTATCGATAATGAACAGCTGTACCGCCCTTTTTTGTTCTATCAATCTTTCGAGCATATAATAGGTAGAATCCCAACGGGTGGGCACATCCTGGATTAATTTGTGCTGGGCTAAACTTAATCGAATTTGGATTTCTTTTAGACAATTTTGTGCAATAGAAGAATGTTTAAAGTGTCCTACTATTTTTCTAACCCGGGCAAGCATGTCAATAATAGATCTCTGTGATAAAATTGCTGCCTGTGCAACCAATTGCAAACTATGTGCAAAACACGAAACCCTTTGAAATTTCCCATTTTTCATGGCCAAAGTTATATTGGGTGCATTATCTCTAATGATTAGGTGTATTTTATTTTTCGTTATACCCCAATAATTAATAATTTCTCTAAAATTTGAGCAATATTTATTGCTGTATGCGACTCATTAAATGTTTTAACATTTAGAACTCTATTAATTTGTTGAAAATTTTGGTTTATATAGTGGCATGTTAATGAGATGTGAGAATCGCCACCTGAATTTCTAGTCCATATATCTACCGTAAAGGATAAAAAAGAATCGTCAACCAAAATTTCTTTACGAATTTTTTCGGAGTTTTTCATATATATCCGGAATAACTCCTTGCGAAAAATACTTTCTATTGGGAATTTTGTAATTTGGACATAAATGATGTAAAAGCCTTTTAAAGCCTATATCCTCCAAGATAGAAATCGGCTGGTGGTCACACGCTATCATTTCCCCTATAAATTTAGAAATTATTATTAATTTAGGATCAGAATGTTTCCAAATATTAGTTTTATTAAGAATGGCTGATATTGTTGGCTGACTTTCAGGGCTCTTTTTTTTAAATTTGATTTGTTTTTTCTAATATTTCTCGTTCTTTTTGTGTTAGCTCTTCGAATTCCTTTTGATGGCAACGCTTCAGATGTTTCCTAATGTTAGTTGTATTGAACGAATTTTTCAGTATTCCTCTAGGTGAAATTAGAATTCCGCAGATGACGCATTTTGCAAAATTACCTTCATCTTTATCAAAATATTTCCATAATTCAGAAACCATATTTAAAATAATTTTTATTTAAAGTATAAATAATAAAATTGGTGTTATTTTTTTAAAAAATTAAAAATAAATAAAACTTTGGGTGTTCCTTTCTATTTTTATAAAAAAACTTGTAAAATCTATTTAAAAAAATAAATAACATTTGCATTGTTTAAAAAAAAATTATTTCTAAAATATTATTAATGTAAAATAGAAACTCGAAAAAATTTATTTTTTTTTTAAATATTTAAAAAAAAATTTTTTTATTAAAAAATAATAATTCAAAGTTTCATTACTCAAAAGTTTTATAAGAATTGCATTTTTAGAAAAAGGATCGGATCGGATCGGGTTTTTTACAGGTATCGGGCCGATCCGATATTTTTGAAAAACGCCAAATATTGGGACCGATTCGATCCGATATTTAATATCGGCACAGCCCTAATTCTAAAAATACTTTTTCTCCAAAATATATGCAAATATATACACCCTTATTATATAACCTTATTCTTCAATGTAAATCACTAACAAGATTTTTTAAGCAAAGTGGATTAAATAAGAGTTTATCAGTTTACCAAGATATCTTAACAAGGTGGAATTCGAAATTAAAATGTTTAAAAGTATTTATGAACAATATGAAGAAATTTTAGATTGTTTACAGAAAAGAAATATGGAGGATTAGCTTAATTCTATTGATAAAAATGGGTTGAAATCATTAATAGACATGTTGACCCCATATGATCAGGCAACCAAGGAGCTGGAGGGAGATAGAAGTCCTACATTATTTAAAGTTTTATTAATTTATAAAACATTGGAAAAGTTACCAGTGTCTGATATTTTATACGAAGCGTATCAAAATAATAGTGAAATTAGAAAGTTAAAATTAAGAGCAAAGGAATTTTTAATATCAAAATTCCAAATAAATATTTTACACAAAATCGCTAAATTTTTAAATCCTAAATTCCGCCAGTTAAAAATGCTTACTTTGGAAGAAGCACTTGAAGTAAAAAATAGTACAAGGGCTTATTCAGATCATCATCCAATTCCTATATATGATCTAGATGAAGCAAATATCCCTAGAGCTTCAAGTAACATATATTTTATAAATATCTTTATCTATATAATATTTTTAGATACTTCAGAACTGGGTGAAGTGCATGCGCATGTTCCTATTCCTACTTCGAGGATTACTAGAGCTACCAGTAATTTATTCTTTATAAATCTTTTTAGCTATATAATATTTTTAGCTTCATCCTCATTATTGGATATGTCTTCATGGCAGGATGATACAATACTTCATAATGAGACGGATACTGATGAGAATAATTTATATATGGATATTCAGCTAAATGAAGAGGATATCAACTATGATGACTGCATCCTAGATTGATGGAAGAAGCATGAAAAAATCTTGCCAACAAAAAAATTCATGCAATTCCAGCATATAATGTTTCCAGTGAACGGAATTTCAGTACTATTGGAAGGGTTATTGAAGAAAGAAGAACAAATTTAAATAACGAAATTGTAGATAATATATTATTTTTAAATGATAATTTGAAAATATAAATTAAAATTTTGTTTATATCATTTATTAATATTATATATATATATATATTATTACTAAATAAAATATTATATTTCTATTAGTATTACTTCAGCATAAGTTAAGTATACATAAAATAATTTTATGGGCTTGGGAAATTTTTTAAATATTATAGCAGGCTTGGGAATTTTTTTAAATATTAAAAACGGGCCGTGCCGGGCCTGGACTTAAAAATTTTTTTACGATGGGCCTGGGCCGGGCTTGGTCCTAAAATAGGCCCATGAAGGTCTCTAATAAGAATAAGTAAGCCCATCAATAACGACTTAAATAATATTATTTAATAATATTAATTAGAGACCTGCGGACCGTATTTTATCTTTTTTTAATATACCCGGGTCGGGCCTAAAAAACTTATTTGAATACCCAGGCCGGGCTAGACTTAGCATTTTTTTTAAATACTCGGACCATATATTTTAAAACCGAATATTTTAGATTGCCATTATTAGCTATAAAAATTAAAAATAAATGTAATATATTTTTAAAAAATCAGGGCCGAGCTTGAAAATATAAAACCAGGGTCGAGGCGAAAAAATTTTTATAAAAAATCCGCGCCTGGCCGTGCAATGTAGATCTCTGTTATTAATACTGGAAAATCTTATTATTTTTATTCTAAAATAAATAAAAAATATATTCCTTTTTAAAAAAAATTACAATAACTAAAAAACCCATAGATATAATGTAACTAAATAAAAAAGGTTAAAAATCTATAATGTAAATAAGAACCGCAACATTATTATTTTAAAGAATTATTAATATATACAAAAGGACCTTTATTTCATATGGAATTACCGCATATAAAAATGAATTTTAAAATGAAAACATTATTTTCTATAAGTTTCTATCTATTTAAATCGGTTTATAAAATAAATTTTAAAATTAGGAGTTCGTGAATACAATGCATCTATCGATAGAAAAATGTAGGCCAATAAGCCTTACCATTTATTTTATTTTTAAGCCAATAAAATTAGAAATATATCTGCTTTTAATTATAGACAATAAATTATTCAGGCAAAATAAAATATAAGCACTAACATTAATTACTTTGGGGTAAAGAAATAATTTTGTAGGTATTTTAAATTTTTGGTAAATTGGTTTTAAGTTTTTTATTGATATGGGCAGTATTTGGCAGTTTAATAATAATGTTAAATATTTTATTATTGGCAGGTTATTAATAAATTTTCAAGTTTTCTATTCTTTAAGAAGCTTTCAATATGGTTTATGACTAGGTATATTATTTAGAGATCTGCAAAAGTAGGCCAGGCCCGTACCCAGCCCGAGTCTTGTCCGAATGGGCTTCGGGAAGGGCTCAGGCCTAATTTTTTTTTAAATCGGGTTTGGGCCGGGTCTAATATTTTTAAATAAAATTCGGGCCGGGTCAGGTCGGGCCTTGGAAATTTTTTTAAATATTTAAATATAGGAAGGAGGTCATAATTTAAAAAAAACAACAAACATAATTACCATACAAATTTTAATATTACATGCTCTTCTTCAGTTTACCCGAGGTAATTTTCCAATTCTCGTGTTAATTTCATTCCAAAGTGTTTATGGATAATAAGAAATCTTATGACTGCTACATTTTTATTTCACACAAAGGGCTTTCCTACCCTATAAGGTAATAAATGAACTTAAATATATAATTTATCATACGATTATCTATATGAATACAAAAATGAAAATTCCAATTTGGTTTCAAAAAAGAGCTAATCAGAAAACATTAATACATCATCATTTTAACACAGTAGTTTTAGCAGCAATATTATTTTAATATCTTCCAAAATTTATATCCATCAAAAAGATTCAGGAATTATTAATTTTACATCATCATTTTATCACAGTAGTTTTAGCAGCAATATTATTCTTATATCTTCCAAAATTATATATTCTTTTTACCCTATGAAATACAATTTTTTCAAAATCCTTACAGCTCTTAATGGCCTTAATATTAATAAGCAATTGAATTATTTATCACTTAATTAAAAAAACCCTTAAAAACTAATTTGATAAATCTGATTAATAAACATTCAAATATTTAATATCTGAGTACAAAATAATTATCCAAAATTCAAAAACTCAAATCAGATTCATAAACCAAAACTTGGCAATAATAAGACTCTCAAATTATAATAAGGAGCTATAAAATTATGACTTTAAAGAAAAGGCTACATATATTAAGGCAAAATTATGTTTCTGACTTAAATAAACAAATACCTTAAATATCAATCCTTCCCATCATCATTACCATGAAAGGAATCTGTCCAACTTGCCATAAATTAATAAATATAAAAAAGGATGGCCATCTTTACAAACATGGCCCTACAACCCTCCCTTGCTCAGGCTCTAACACACTTTGCACAAAACTTATAGAACCCCCAATAAATACCAAACACATACAAGTAAATAACAAATCACTAGAAGAATTTATCTTTATTAATAAATCACCAACAATTAAGCACATCCCAACCAGTGTTAACTACCTTATCACAGACCATCTCACCAAATTATTTGATAATATTAACTCAGATTTGTCAAACACAAATCATTGGAATAATCTTTTCACTTTCCCTTTTAAATGTCTCTCAATCCCAAAAGATAAAAAATCTATTTCACTACCTAACATTATAAAAGACAGACTTAAAAATGTAGATTACTTAACACCTCTTGAACACATCAAATATCCCAATAATTCCAATGAAAGTTTCATTAAAACCTGTGACAAAATTTCCAAAAATATAAATGAAGGTGACGTCTGCGGAGCCCAAAAATTAATCTCCTCACAATCAAAACTAGCCCCATCTAATGATGCGACTCTTGAAAACCTAAAATCTCTCCATCCACGAGCTTCTTATACTAGCTTACCAAATCCTCCGCCAAATATTCCTCCTCTCACAATATCAAACCAAGATATACGTGACACTATAAACGAATTTAATAAATTTTCAGCAGCAGGTCCTGACGGCTATAGACCTTCCTACTTCCAAACATTCCTAAAATCTCCCAATTCAAATAGTTTTTTTAACTCACTTACATCCTTCCTCAATAATATAATCACTAGAGATATCCCCACATTAGCTCATCAAATAATATTTGGAGCTAACTTGATTGCATTTGAAAAGCCGAAAGGTGGTATCCGCCCAATAGCTATCGGTTCTTTCTTCAGACGCCTGATTACTAAAATCATCGCAAAAAAAAAAAAACCCTTACTCATTCCCTGCTTGGCAATTACCAATTAGGATGCGGAACAAAAGGAGGCGTAGATATAGCCTCTCACTGTCTCCGAATCTACCTACAACATCCTCCTTTAAACTCCGTTCTTTGCAAAATTGTTTTCAAAAACGCCTTCAATACTATATCCCGTTCCTCTGCTCTCGAATCGTTTTACGATAATCTCCCCCAATACTCGCGCATAGTTGACATTTGCTATTCCAATAGCACTCCCCTCATTTTCAATGGTTACGTTATATACTCAGAAGAGGGTGTTCAGCAGGGCGACCCCCTAGGCCCTATACTTTTCTGCTTAGCCATCCATAATATGATGAAAGATCTCAAATCTGATTTTGATCTAGACCTTAATTTATGGTACCTAGACGATGGCACTCTCTGCGGTAACCAACACCAAATAAACAAAGCCCTCTTCCACCTCGAAAGAGAATGCCCCAAAATAGGCCTAGAATTAAACAAAACCAAAACAGAAATCTACATACTCAACCCCGAGATTCCCCTAGATTCATTTAAAGATTACAATATTATCGAAATCGACGATATCCAACTCTTGGGCTCCCCACTACTAAATAATAAAATCTCGGAAAAAACTATCGATAAAACCTTCTTCGAGTTGCAAAACTTGGAAAAGTTCATCAATCATATCCCATCGCACCAACTTTTTTATCTATTAAAAAAGTGCCTATATTTACCTAAAATCTCACACCTCTTCCACTCATCCTCCTCATTTACCTCCTCAGAATTTTTCACCAAGCATAATATTCGCTTAAAGACCTTAATGGAAAGGATCCTTAATCTTCCACTATCAGACTTTAATTGGCACCTTGCTCAATTACCCGCTAAACTAGGCGGTATCGACCTAATCCCCTTAGAATTACTCTCCCTATCTCTTTTTATCTCTAATCGCCTTTCGCTCAATTCCGCGATCTCATCTTTTATAACTCCCAATGACGATCTCTTAACAGTAGCAATCGAAAAATGGAATCTACTAACCCCAGACGGTCAAACATTCCCAACCGAAATTTCTAATAAATCAATCTTGGAACCCCTTATAAAGAAACTTCAAAATAATCTTAACCCCTCTGATATTAGCGATATTCAACTACTTCAATTAAACGATAAATATGGCGGATATGAATGGCTCGAGGCACTTCCTAGCCTAACCCTTGATAATCTCTTAACCAATGACCAACTGAGAGTTACCATAGGATTCAGACTAGGATGCTCGCTAACACATTCACACACTTGCCACCTTTGCAACCTACCCGTACAACCAAACGCAAGACACGGCCTAAACTGCTCCCGTAGCCAAGGTCGCCACCTCCGGCATAAAGCAATATATAAAATCATCCATAATGCTCTCAATAAAGCTAAAATTCCTAACATTCTAGAACCTACAAACCTCTCTCTACAAGATGGCCTCAGACCTGACGGTCTAACCTGCATCCCTTGGTCCAATGGGAAATCCCTAATCTGGGACGCTACCTGTGTCTCTTCCTTTCCCTCATCAATTAATTCAAATCCTCTTACTAATGGCGAAAATAAAAAAATCAATAAATACTCAATATTAAATAATTTTATTTTTCAACCCATAGTCATCTCAACTAATGGTAATTTCTCCCAATCAACATATTCTTTTTTAAAAATTTTAGCACGTAAAATTTTTAACATAACAAACGAAAAACGCGAGTCAACCTTCCTAAAACAAAAAATATAATTAGAAATTTTTAAACATAATTATACATGTTTTTTAGGTACTTTTTTACTCTAAGCTCTTTTTAGAGCCATCGATATTTTAAAATTTACACTCATTTTTAATATATGACTTGTTATATTAGATATATTTTATTATTGTAATTTTATATAATATTTTCTTACAAAAAAAAAAAAAATAAAAAGTAGCTCAACAATTTAATATTGAATTTTTTATGTAAAATAAAAATATTTGATTTTATTTATGGAACTAGACGCCATAACATGTTTTTTATTTTGAGTAATTATAAAAATTAATTTCTACATTTAAATAAGTTTGGGCCGGGCCGGCAAAACTTTTTAGAAAATGTTTCGGGTTTGGACCAGGCCAGCATAACTTTTAAAAAAAATCGGGCCGGGCTTGAAAAATTAAGCCCGATGCAGATTACTAATTATTAACTATTATTTCTTATAAAACAATTTAAAAGTTTTAAACATTATAAATAAGCAGAATTTGGTTTCTTTTTATGTATAAAAATTAAAAACAATGATTTAGCAGTCTGATCCAATTTTTTGTCATGTATTTAAATATTTTTTAATTTTAAATGATCCTAAAATTTTCATACTAAAAATCATGACATTATCCTTAAAAACAAACAAAATAATTTAATATTACATAATTTTATATGATATTGTGTATAAATTTTCATACTGGAATCAGGACTATTATCCTTATAGGATCAAAAAATAATTTAACATTACATATTTTTTATAAACTATATTGGGAAATATTATTAAAATTAAATGAAAAAAGCTGTATTCTATAAATACAGTAAACTTGTCTAGTTTGGTGGCAACTCCCTAATATAATCAATTTTGTTCTAATTGAATTCCTATTAACTATTATTAGAAAGTAAAAATACTTGATAATTTGGGCAACTATCTAAGTTGGGGAAAAATCTTTGTCCCAACTGTGCCCAAATTAGACATATTTTACCATATTTTTAAAATTGAAACTTTATTTTGAGAAATGTTGGTATTTATACTACCTTTATACTGCAATCCCTATAATTTTAAACTCATTCTATATCTCATTGGGGTGAAGAAATATTAAATTTGAACCTTCTCGTAAAAATTACAATCCAATAAATTTAAGCATTGCTACATTCGTTCCCTAACAAATAATTGACATATTTAAAAATATTTTAAAATGTCTTATATAATTTATTTTAAGAATGGATAAATATTATTTTGATAGTTAATTTATTGTAGTATTGTCATTCTTTCATGCTCCCTTTTCTGACTTATGGGATACTTCATTAGGTAATGTATAAATATTACATCTAACAGCTAGTACTGTTAGGTATTCATAATAAGGTATATGAACAATTTTATTTTTAATAAAAAAACCTTAAATTTTAACCAAAAAATAATAATTTATCAAACCTAATGTATAAATAAAAAAATTTGCAATAAAAAGTTTACATTTTTAATATAAAAATCATGTTTTAGATTATTAAATTCCTTATTCTTGAATTTAAGGTAGAAAACAAATATTTTAACATGGCCTTCTCCTATTTATTTATTTTTATGTTATTGTTAATATTATCATGTTTTTTAACATAAATTTGATAATAACTATTATTAATAAATAAATATTGGTAAAATATATTGGAATTCCAGAAATATTCTTAAACATAAAAAACAAATGAAACCTTAGTTATTACAAGTAATTCTCTGTATTAGCCAGAGAATCATATTTTTTCTGATACATTAAATTTCTTAAAAGTTGAAAATATCAATACTATTTTTATTACCTCCTCCATTATCATAACATTTGAAGGGAAATCTCCATATATTGCTATATCCAGTAGCACATCCTAAACATGATAAAAGAAACTCCATTCTATGCCCCCATGAGCCTCTTTCTTGAATTACATTTTCATTTTCAATTTTCAAACTGTCTATTGATTCATTAATAGATGTCATTTCAGTGAAAGCATCGACATTGTCCCCTACCTCTTTCATTTAAATTTTGAGGTATACAAAACCATATGGGTCATCTATTTCGAACAAATAATATCGTATCGTCATATTATAATTTACGCCTGAGGTCTATCTTGTTATATTTGACAGCATATGATTCGGGGCTTAAATATTACCACAGCTGATTTTGCGACAAAAAAAAGAAAAATGGTGAATACAAACTAGACATTTTTAACATTTTAATTTTAATTATTAAAATATTTATATAATAAGACAATATTTAACTAATAATTTAATTATTTATAAAATTAAAACCTATTTATAAATTTATTAGTATTAATATAATTAAAAAAAATTAAAATGATAATTTATGTAATATTAATATGATGTCCTAATAATATTTAATTATATATACAAGGTAATAATTATATATAAAATATTTAAATATATATAAAGTAATATTTATTTATATTAATATGAAAATAATATTTAGATATATGGTAATCATCTATATACTAATTTTTTTAATATAAATGACTTCAGTTAATACCAGAATATAAATAATCTTATATCACGTTGACGTGTCAGGTATAAAAGATAAGTTAAAGATTTAATTATGACGTAATATAATAAAAAATTTTATATTTTGCATATTTGACAAAAATATTTATTTCTAATGTGTGTTGCTTTGTCTACCACCTTTCTCTCTTCTCTTGTTAGTATGTCATCAAATCTCATTGCATGAATTAGAAATCTGAATCTTTTAAGAGGCATCGTTACTCTAAATATGTCAATTCCAAACCCATCAGATTTCCATAAATCAGACATATTTTGATTTAAATTTAAAAATTCCAGCTAAATAAAGAATTCCCAATAATGCTTTGAATTCAGTTATATCAACTTCTTTTGTAGAACTTTCATATTGATTATAATTTTGACTTACAATTTTAATTTTTTGGTTGGTATGATAAATTATCTCTTCAATCATTTTTGGTGTTATGAACAAGTCAAAACATTAGCTAATTTTAAAGAGAAATATACTATGATAAATGATTTTATATTTACCTAAATAATACTTAAGCTTATTATCTGTTTCAGCTAATATATCTTCTTCTTCATCTAATTCAGATTGTGTATCATGATCACTATCATACATAAAATCTTCATCCTCACTATTAATTATATTATCCAAATTACCTCAAAAAAAAATATTACATTTATATATTTTATATTTACTTTCAGAATCTGCAAAAATCATAGTATATGATATAAATAATTTAAAAAGTTTGTTGGAGAAAATAAACATAAAATAACTCCATCAGAAAAAATATTTGTGTTTTCAATTTCATATATCTCATTCAAAATATGTTATATTCAAATTTCGTTTTAATAAATTTTATAATATAGTGGTATATATTTATAATTATAAAAGTTTTAAAAAAAAATTTAAAAAAAAATTACGAATTTACTCCGGTGGGGTCTCACAAACCCCAAGCAGTCACAAAATGCTTATATGTTAAAAACTACTCAACCAAAATATGTGAAATTTGGAATATAGATTCTAAGATATATTTGATGAAGCTACTGAAGAATCCAGATCATGATAATTAACCGTTTTTATGCAATATCATTTCCAGCATGCCTGGGGTTTCCTCCACCCCACCGGAATATTGAAGGGTTAAAGAAAATACCAATAATTTTAATGCTGGCACATCTAAAATTAAAAAATTTTTCGACACTATAACCGAACAAAATCAAACGCAACTTGACAGTGCTTTGGCATTGGCTATTTTTATGTCAAATTGCCCTTTTAATTTAGTTGAAAATAAATATTTCATCAATTTTTTAAAATTAATGCGTCCAGCTTATAAAATTCCTTCTAGACATGCAATTAGTAAAACATTACTAGATTTTGAATACATTAAAGTGAAAAATATTATTAACAATAAATTCAATAATTTAAAAGATTTTACTCTCATAAGCGATGGCTAGACAAATATTCGCGGAGAGTCCATTATTAATTTTATAATAATGACTCCAGAACTAATTTTTTTTAAATCCATTGACACAGGTTCCAGTGCTCACACTAGTGAATATATCGCATCTGAGTTGATCAAGGTAATAGAAGAAATTGGTTGTCAAAAATTTATCTCACTAGTAACTGATAATGCAAAGAATATGAAAAAGGCCTGGAGTCTTGTTAAGGCAAAATATAATTATATTGAATGCTTTGGATGTGCCGCACATGGGTTGAATCTGCTTATTAAAGATTTATGCCAAATACCTTTTATTGAAAAGATCATCAAAAAAACCAAGCAAATAATTAAATATATAAAATTTCATGGTATTTTATTAGCAACTTTTAAAGAAAGGCAAATATTGAAAGTATATAAATCTTCCTTAAAAATTCCAAGTCCGACAAGATGGGGAGGTTTTGTTATAATGTTGCAAAGTGTTGTAAAAAATAAGGAAGTTTTGCAAGAAATTGCAATTTCTAGTTTATTTACAAATAAACAAAGAAGGCTTATTATATTAGACAAAGAAGGATACTGGGATAAATTAGAGTCTGTACTGACCTTTTTGGAATTTATTTATAAGAAAATTATATTTGTAGAATCGGATTCAGAGGTATTATCTGACGTTCCAGAAATATTTTGGGACATAAAAGATAAACTCAATTCAACAACTTTTATTTTTAATGAAAATGATTTGAAAAGTATTAAGATGCATATTAAAAAACGAAAAAAATTTTGTTGCCGAGAATATCATTATGCAACAAATCTTCTGGATCCTCGATATTATGGTGTGAAATTAACAGACCGTGAATTAACAGCAGCTTTAAATATAATAAATATTATTTCAGGCCAAATTAATTGCGATATTGGAAAAATTATGGGTAATTTAGCAGAATATCGTTCAAAACAAGGTTTCTATAAAGGAGCTGGCATATGGGAGAGCTCAATCCATACCAAACCACTCATATGGTGGAAAGGGTTGTGTACAAATCAACCCCTTTGTCAAGTGGCAGTAAGATGTCTTTCGATACCACCCTCAGGTGCCTCGTCAGAAAGAGTCTGATTAGCATTTGGAAAAATTCATTCAAAAACGAGAAATAGAATAAAAAATGAAAGAGTCGAGAAATTAATATCAATAAGGCATAACATACATTTAAAGGATCATACAAATACATCAAGTTCGGGATATCATCAAAAGAGTTCAGATTCCGATTTATCAATATCAAGTGATAATGATGATATTTCAATTTCAAGTGATGAAGATATTGATGCTATTTCATTAGCATCCCAAGAATTTTAAATGTAATTTCTGATACATGCTTTTTGTAATTAATAAAGTTATTCAAAAAATGATGTTTATAGTGTATTTATTTTTGTCTTTGTTTAATTATATTATTTTCCCTTAGTTCCCCAAATTTAATAAAGTTATTCCATAAAAAAATGAAAGGTTTAAAGTATATTTTGTGGTTATTTTTTAATTTTCCGTTTTTTCCCGTTTTTTTCCCCCAATTTTCCCTTTTTTCCCCAATTTTCCCGGGGAAATTTCCCCTGAACCAATTTTCCCGGGAATTTTACATCTATAATTAGTGATCAATTTTGTTAAAATGTGTTGGAAAAGAGATAATAGCATAAGTAAAAATATTTGTAAAGAAAGAAAAATATTTTTATAAAAGAGTTTAAAATGTGGGAGAAAAGATAATATCATAAGTGAAAATATGGTAAAGAAAAAAAATATTTTTATAAAAGTGATTAAAATGTGTTTAAAAGGAGATAATATATTAATTGTTTTGATGAGGATGAAAACAAAATTTGTTTGTTAATCAAATATATAAATCAGTTTAATTTGGTTGTTTACTAATTAAGTTGATATTAGGAAAATTGTGTAATTTAAATATATAAATCAGCTTAAGTTGGTTGTTTATTAATAAAGAGTATAGGGATATAGAAGAAAATATAAAAGATGATTTTTAACATATGTTTAAAAAAAGGGGTTTAAAATTCATAATTTTTAAAAAAATTATATATATTTATAAATTTTGTTTTTGTGGTAAATTATTAAATTTAAAAAATTGAAGTTAAAATTTTAAGAAAATTAATATTAATCGAAAAGAAATGTATATATAAAATTTGTTTTATATTATTCATGAATTCCTACAAAACAGAGTTAATATTATGGACTGTGGTTCCTTCTACCTTAAAATAGTGATTATTCCTAAGATATCGAAACAAATGATCAAGTGTTTTGAGTTTTGGAATATGGTATTTAATATTAATAACAAAAAATGGAATTCAAAAAATAAATATATTATTGGACGGCAATGTTTCCGTTGCCATTCCAAAGAGCATTTGATTACTGAGTGTGAGGTTCCGTCTTATCTATTAAAAAAATGAAAATTCATTGTGATTAATTAGAGGTGTCTGATAATATTCCGAGTTGTTCGAAAAATTATAATCAAAAGAAGGAAAAACAAATAAATGTAGGAAAGACTGATTATAACAAAGTGAATGAATTGGAGTCAAGGAGAAAATATTATGGGAATAGAGTGTGGCCGCCAATACGATATCAGGGAACCATGAAAGTTACAAAGATTGACACAAGCTATACGTTAAATCCAAAGCAAAGAAGGATACGCATGGATAGGAACCCAGGCTATATAATGATACCGGATCTTGAAAAGAAGAATGTGAACGTTGGTAATACCAAATCAAATATGGAATATACGGATATTGAAATGGAAGAAATGAAATTATTACAACCTGAAAATGAGTGAAAGAAATTATGTGTAGTAAATTTTAGTATATATTTATATTGTATATATGTTGCTGTATTACATGTTCTTGGCCCGTTAGGGGTGGACATTTTATCATAGTAATATATTAATAGTATACATATATGTGTAGAATAAAAAATATCATTAATTCTTAAAAATGTCAATTATAAAATATTAGATATATATATATATATCGGATTATTGATGAAATTAATAATTTATTCATTTTTGGAAAGTGAAATTGAATAAATAAAATTTGGTAAATTGAAATTAGTTATTTTGTTATTCTGGTATTAGTTATATTATAGAGTATTTTGCCAGGAATGAATGAAGAGATAGAGAGAATAAGTAGAAGATGTGAAACATGTAATAAATGGGCTAAAATACCAATAATAAATAATAAGGGTAATTGGTAACCATCGAATTGCCCAGGAGAGAGAGTATAATTTTTTCGAAATATATATGGAAAAATTTATATTTTAGAGGATAAATTTTTATAATGGACAGTATAGGAAAGGGTGGTGGGGTTAACGAATGAAATAACTATAAAGAAATTAGAGTTGTGGGTGGGTAGATACGGGTTAATAAAGCATTAGTATCAGAAAGAGGGCCAGCATTTTTAAGTGAAAAGTTTAGTAAATTTTGTACAGGTTTCAGGTATTAAACACATTTTATCACCACCATTCCATCCAAGTTCTAATGGATAAGCGGAGCTGATGGTAGGGTTTGAAGTCATGGCAAAAGAAGTAGAGAGAAGGGGGAGAGAAATATGTATTTTGTGGTTGTATTACAATAATAGTATAAATGATAAGGGCAGGACACTATCAGAAATATTTTTGGGAAGGAGAACCAGTTTAGACACATTAAGGAAAACTGATAGGGAATGGGAAGAAAGAACAGAGCGTTATGCATGATTCATAGAGGGTCGTGCGGCATGGGTAAGAATGTTTACGGGAGTAAATAGATGTGTGAAAGGAATAATAAATAAGGTGACAGGAATTTGAACGTATTTAGCATTGGTTAATGAGGTTAGTATGACCAGACATGAGGATCAATTAATGAGAAGAGAATAAGAAGAGACGAGATTAATCAAACAGTTAGACCAATAAGCAATTACGAAGGATTAAATATATTCGTATTCATATTGGATTCGGAATTTGGTGAATATAGATATAAGTATATTCGTAAGAGTCAAAATATGAAATTGAATAATTTAATTTTGGAGAATTCGAAAGAATAGAATAATTGAATTGAAAGCTGAATAAGTAAAATAATTCGGAGAATAATTCGAAGAAATATGGATTCAAATTGAATAAGAAAATAAAGTAGTAAATGACTAATAGAATGGTACAATAGGAGTATTCATCGAAAAAAGACTCGATTATTGAATTTACTAGAATTGGAAAAGAGGGGAAGGAAAAAAGAAGGGAGATAGAAGGCAAATTTAAAAGAAAGAAGAGGAGCAGAAAGTAAAAAGAAACAATTTCTTTCAAGCCATTGTGATATTTCAGTAATAGCATTAATAATAGGATCTTCTAACTCCATAAAAAATGCTATGCTTGATGGCGGAGACTCGATTTCGTTGAACAAGCTTGCAATTTCTTTCTCCCTGTTGGACAAGGAGTTTCAGAGATAATTATTATTTGACTAGAAATTTAGATAAATAATACGCCACCAAAATTTGAAAATAATAGGTAAATTACTCCAAGGAAAACTTAAAATCGAAATTAATTGATAAAATAAATTAGAAGATGAATGTAAATAAATAAATGTAATTAAATATATATGAGATAGGAATTAATATTAACAAATATAAATTAATATTAACAATAATATTTTTGAAAAATATAATCCGGCATCTGCATTTTTTAGCTTTGGGGGGGGGGGGGGGGTTGTCCCCTTGTCCCTTCCCCGCAGCGTATGCGCCTGCTAATATAGAATCTTGCTAATACTAAGTTATTGCTAATATTGTACTTTATTTTACAATTTTATAGAAAAATATATATGTAAATATTATTATGTAAAATATTTTTAAAAGAATTACCTTTGCCTTTAAGCTACAGAAAAATATTTGCTAATACTAATATAGAATCTTGCTAATATTAAGTTGAGAATATTGCTAATATTGTTCTTTATTTTACAATTTTATAGAAAATATGAAAATTTTTCGAAATATTAAAACGAATTAGTATAATGACAAAACAAAGATAAATGGATCGGACCAATACCTTCATGATATCACTCTGGATGGGGGGCGAAGATTCCCATAATTTTTTTAAATAGAGCCCCCAGATTGTAAAAGCTAGCGACGCCCCTGCTTCAACTGTTAATGCATATTTACTGAGTGATATTGATATTCTATTTTTAACATAGAATTTGATTGCAATCTGACATAGTGAAAATATAATTTATATGTATTAATCTAATCTAATAATTAAAATAGTATTCATATAATAAAAATCTAGATAATCTTATTAATTTTTAAATAATAAAATTAAATCTATATATTACTTAATAGAATTATAAAAGAAATCGTTCAGTGAACAATCATAAAAATATATTTAAAGATATTAATTTATATAATTCTATGTTTTTGAAAATGAATTGCCATACGTACCCTAGAAGATCTTTCGCAGATACTTTCCGTTTCGGTTCTGATATGATATTAAGGAGCCATTAAAAATTTTTTAAAATTATTACTTTAGGGGGCTATTCAAATTTTTCAAGGGGCTCCAGCCCCTGCGCTGCCCTCCCTAACCGCTGAATGCTATAATTATGCATTCATGTTAAATGAGGTAGTTTTTATTTGAATTCATTATCTAAAAAAGTAACCTCCATATTCACAATTAATAGTTGGTAGTAGTGTTGTTAAACGGCTCGTTTTGAGCCGATTTTTAAAAACGGCTAACTCAATATTTTATCCAGAGAAAACTACAGATTTTGCTCACAGAAGGAAAAAAGGTCTAGACATATATTAACGAAATCTCGAGGCTTAGACAATATTTTTTCTGACTAAAATATTGAGTTAGCTTAACAACACTAGTTGGTAGTAGAGATAAAATAATTTAGGTTATCCTTTGTAAAATTTCTGAAAGGAGTATCATTATAATTAAAAGGGTGTAATTAATAATTGGTAAACATCGGCACCGAAGGGTGTGCAATTATTATAGGGAAGGCATAGGTGTTTGAGGGGGGTTTGTATCCAATTCCTGTCATGTAGACGCTGGTTGCAGATATGATTCGAATCAAAATGATGGCTTAGATAATTAGAAGAGAAGGATGATAAAAGAATGGTAGTAAAACCTAATTACCCTAAATTACCTTGATAAGGTAGTTTGATTTTTAAAAATATATATATAATAGTAATGGAACGGGATATTATTTCAGTAGAGTGGGTGAATATATTTTTGTTAGTAATATGTATTAGTATTATTCAATTTCTTATTATTAAATTTAAAAAATATTTAAGACCATCTTAGAAAAATAATCAAAATCGATTAACATTGAAGATCTGTTAAAGTAATGTTGTTAAACGCAGTGGCGTCACTATGGGGAAGGGGACGCAGGGACTCAAGCCCCCTAAAAAATTTGAATAGCCCCCTGAAGCAAAAAAATTTTTTTTTTAAAATGGTTCCTTAATATCCCCTTAAACTAAAAAGAACTTTTTTTGATTGTCCCCTGTTTATTATAATTCTATTAAGTAATATATAGATTTAATTTTATTATTTAAAAATTAATAAGACTATCTAAATTTTATTAGATTAGATTAATACATATAAATTATATTTTCACTATGTCAGCTTGCAATCAAATTCTTTGTTAAAAATAAAAACCATGCATAATGTTTAAATATCAATTTAGCATTAACAATTGAAGTTTAATTGATTTTTATTAATTAAATTATTATATAACCCTAATTAAATAAATATAAAGATTTATTAATTGAAAATTAACAAATTTAATATTGTAAGCCGAGTTTAAAATCACTATTTAAATAAAATGACTTTGCGATTTAAAAATTTAAGCATTAAAGACTTTATGAAAAAAACTAAAGATAAAAGTAGCAATAATCTTGAGGACCAAAGAAGAGGATTCAATAATAAGGCTGGTGATGAACAAAGTATATTTTATACAGTTTTTAAAATTCAAACTTTGATTTAGTTGAAAGACGATTAATTGTAGTTTTAAAAGATATAAATATTGAAAACAAAAATGTTAAAAGAAAGAAAATAGGTAAATAAATTTATATATAAGTCTGTGTCCAAAATGTTTTGAAAAAATCCTTAAAATTTTCACAAATTAATAACAAAACACTTTGGACATTTAAGTTTTAAAAAATAAAAATTTATTAGTTAATTATCTATTTTAATGGAAGGTTTCTTTTTCACTTGATCATAATTGAAGTTATATGTTTTTCTCCTCCCAAATTTGCCTAATTTCTATAAAATTTCTATTTAAGTCATTTTTCACCAGAGTATTAAACACTATTGATTTCTTTAGTTTTCAAGTTAAGCAAAAATTGCTTTACAATATATTTTCACCTTTAAGGAGCAGCACACTAGAAATGGAAAATTTTTTTTTAATTTTTATATTATAATCACATAAGGTGATGTCAAAATATTAGCTAAATAAAACATAGTAAATATTTTCTATATAAATAGTCAATATCTTAAAAAATCATACACTATTATTCTTTTTACATTAATAAAGATAATATTGGCTAAATTGTTTACTCAATCATTCTTTCATAATTTGATAATTATATATTTATTTGTTTATCCTAACTTAATAATAAACTATATTTTAATAAAAATGCTAAATAAATTTAGAATAGTTTGCTTATTTATATATATTTTTGAAAAATGGACACTATAATATGGAATATTACTTTTTATATATTATATTTACAAAAATAAATACACTGAAAAGAAATACATTTTAAAATTAATCTTATTTAGATTCATTGAATAATGAAGAAAGTATTGTGAATGACATGATTGTAAATAATGTAAGTACAGAAGGAAAGAAAATAGGTAAAAAATTAATTTATATATAAGATATTTTATTTATAAAATAATAGAAGCACTATGTGTGGCTCAATCTGAAGATATATGTGAGATCCAATGTACAGATATCTCTGAATGTATTAATTTTTTAAATATAATTAAATTAAATATAAAATTTTATATAGACATAGAATCTGAAGAGGATACTACAACAAGCCAGATTCTTGGTAGCAGTAAATATAAAGGTATATAGGATAAAGAAGTTTTATTGCAACAAATTACATTTGATGAAATACATTTTAAAATTAATCTTATTAAATAATGAAGAAAGTATTGTGAATGACATGATTGTAAATAATGTAGGTACAGAAGGAAAGAAAATGGGTAAATTAATTTATATATAAGATATTTTATTTATAAAATAATTGAAGCAATATGTGTGGCTCAATCTGAAGATATATGTGAGATCCAATGTATAGATATCTCTGAAGGTATTAATTTTTTAAATATAATTAAATATAAAATTTTGGGCATGGATTCTGAAGAGGATACTACAACAAGCCAGATTCTTGATAGCAGTAAATATAAAGGTATATTGGATAAAGAAGTTTTATTACAACAAATTACATTTGATGAATACATTTTAAAATTAACCTTATTTAGATTTATTAAATAATGAAGAAAGTATTTTGAATGACATGATTATAAATAATGTATATATAGAAGGAAAGAAAATAAGTAAATTAATTTGTTTATAAGATATTTTATATTTATTTATAAAATAATAGAAGCTATACGTTTGGCCCAATCTAAAAATAACAACTATTCAAGTATTTTTTTCATTTTAATAATATTTTTCTTCAAATATATAATATTTGTCATAATTTTCATAAAAGCAATAATATTTTAATTTTTATATTAATATTTGTCACTTTTTTAGAAGAGCTTATACAAGTATTATTTTTATTTTAACAATGTTTTTCTTCAAATATATAATATTTGTCTTAATTTTCTAAAACCAATAATATTTTAATTCATTTATTAATTTTTATCACTTTTTTCAGAAGAATTAGATTTGGGTACTAAAAAAACTGGTCCTATGCAACCTATATTAGGTGCCTATCCATATATTGGAATGGGTAAAGATAAACGATGCTTTCAAACTCAGGGTACAAATCCTTTCTCTGGATTGAATATAGCATAACCAGAAACTCTATTTTTTGTTTTCCTTGTCGTAATTTTCCCATCAACCTCAAAAAGGATACCTTTTTAATCAAGGTTATCAAAAATTTCGTAAGGTAAAAGAATACTTAACAACTCACGGAGCAACAAATGGTCATGCAACGAATGTAATTCTCTGGAACCATTTTAAACAATCTTTGATAGAAGGCACCATTAAAGAAAAATTTATAGCTCTAACTAAATCAACAATACTTGAAAGAAGAGAAAATTTGAAACGATTATTCAAAATTATAATACTATGTGGTAAGTTGGAACTTCCCCTTAGAGGTCATTATGAAAGTAAGACAAGCAATAATCAAGGAAATTATTGTGAAATATTAAACTGTTTGAAAGAGTATGATCCATTTTTAATAGCATATAAACCACCAGGCAATGCTCATTATTGCTCACCTCAATCACAAAATCAAATGCTATCTGCAGCTGGAAACTTAATCGTAAAGTACATAGCATCAGAAATAAGGGAGGCAGGCTATTTAAAAATTAAAAAATAAAAAATAAAAATAATTATGAATATCATAATAAAAAAAACTTGAATAAAATTGAATTATGTAACTTAATACCTAATGTTAAAAAAGAAATTAATTCTTATAAATTAGAAGAAATAAATCATTTGATAACAATTGGAGAAATAATAGTTATTAAAAACAATAATGAAATAAAAATTGAAGAAAATAATAAAATAAAATTTTTTATAATTAATAAAAAATTTAAAAAAACTATGGAAAAGAAAATTAAAACAAGGGTGATTAAATGTCGCGATGTTGAAAGAGAGATTAGGAGTACGATATGGAGATCATATGTTGAAAATGGGAGGAGAAAGAGAAATTTTGTTATAAAGAACAAGTTGGAGAGAAATTATGATATAAAAAAAGTGTTTAAATTGAAAAATAAAGGAGTAAAATTTAAAAAATAAAAATAATTAAATAATAAATAAAAAAAATTATTATTATATAAAATGAAACAATTCCAAATAATCTATTATGATTCTTATTCTTATGAATCATTCTGATAAATTATTTATTCCATTATCATTTCAATTATTCCAAAATTATTTTATTTGAGATATTTTGATCATAATATAAATCTCCTTTTCAACATCATGATATTGTTATAAAGAACAAGTTAAAGAGAAATTATGATATAAAAAAAGTGTTCAAATTGAAAAATAAAGGAGTAAAATTTAAAAAATAAAAATAATTAAATAATAAATAAATAAAATTATTATTATATAAAATGAAACAATTCCAAATATTCTATTATGATTCTTATTCTTATGAATCATTCTGATAAATTATTTATTCCATTATCATTTCAATTATTCCAAAATTATTTTATTTGAGATATATTGATCATAATATATATTTACAAACATTGATAAAAATGATAATAAATAACCAGATGAACAAGCTAGTGTGAAGATGATGTTCAAGCGAATGATTAGATGATAAGGATAACAAGCAAAAATCAATGAAAATGAATATGAAAAGGAATATGGAAAATAATAATAAAATAGACGTAGACATGGCTCTAGAAAAGTTTCTTTTTAATTATCGTAATACACCCAACGCAACGACCAACAAAATACCAAGCGAAGTAATGTTCTCCAGAATGATTAGGACAAAATGGGAGTTGATAAAACCGAGGGATGAAAGAGATCATATACTAAATCGCAATATCAATAGATAGGGATATAGAAATAGGAGACAGCATATGGTATAAAACTTTTAAGGATAATAATTGGGAAAAAGGTACAATAATGCGCAAAAACGGAAATTTGTTGTATGAGATAGATACTGGGAACAAAATTATAAAAAGACACTTGGACCAAATAAAAAAAAGATCAACTAATGTTGAACCTTCTTCTAATGGTGCAACAGTTTTTAAAACGAATGTTAATAATAATGCATCACCTTATACATTAAATTTTAGAAGGGGAGGTGATGAACCAAGAAACCAAAATGTACAAGTGAATGATCAGAATCGCAACGTTCAAAGACCAGTTAGAAATAGTGTGTTGCCTAGAAAATTTGAAAATTTTATAATGAATTAAATTTGATAATAAATTTTTTTTCTCTTCCTTATATTAAAACAAAATTAGTTTTTTTTGTGTGTGGAACTAAATTGATAAAACGTACAACAAAAAAAAGATCAACGAAGGGGTTAACGAGCAAGAATGACAAACGACAAAAATTATAGACAGAGGGCAAATAAGAAATAAAAAAAAGTGTGAAATGTTAAACAGTGACACTCATGTATTTTATCTTAACTTTAAAAAATTGTTTTTTTTACATCCTTAAGCTATTTATGGCGTAACTTAAAATATTTCAAATGTAATAAGAATTGTTTCTTTCTTTTTGTTAAAAACAACTTTTATATTTTAAAAAAAAATCAATTTGCTTATAAACTAATATTAAATTTTATATTTTATATTATATAAATCAATTTACTTAAAAAACGAATGTTCAATTTTATATTTTAACTTTAAAAAGATCAATTTATTATAAACGACATTTAAATTAAATTGTCAATATATATAGGAAACTATTTTGAGTTATGTGATCATTATATTTTTTAAATTTAAATATCAATAAATTGACTTAAAAATTATATTCTTGAAGTCTGCACCATTAGTAATCTTTAGAAATTTCATGGTGGCAGCGTATCCTAAATTAAAATTTTCTAAAATATTAAATATAAATTAACTTCTTAAAATTTTTATAAAATCCAATACTATAAAATAGAAAAATTCAAGGATATTGTAAATTATAAATTATGAAACAGACCTCAAATAATAACGTTAATATTAATATTGAATTTCCAACATACACAGGTAATGGCGATGTTTTTCTAAGTCGTTTCGAAGACATATTCAACGATGCTCAGATCTCTGATATCGAAAAAGCAGGATCCTTCACAAGAAGACTACCAGACGAAGAATACATCAAGCTCAAATCGATATGTTCACCTACCGATTTCATCAATCCATCGATATTGATTGAAAAATTTAGGTTATTACACCCGAGGAAATCTACAAGTTCGAAATTGTTATTATTCAATGCAGCTGTACAATGTAAAAATAAAAGTTACATCAATTGGGTAAGTAGATTATGTATTTTACAAAATGAATGTTCGTTAAGCGATAGTAGAGTCATTGAAAAAGTAAAAATTTCATCAAATAGCAGAAGTATCAGGCAGAAAATTACGTTGGAAGAGAATATTACGTTAGCAGAAGTCTTTAGTTTAAGAGATGATTTTGAAGAGACAGAATTAAAAGAAAATATAATAGCTAAAGTTGAAAACATTTCTATAAGTGAAAAGACTGAAGAAGAAACAAGCGTAAAACATTTGGAAAGACAAAGAGGCATGAAAGTTGAAGAAAACAAACAGGTGGTCAGATACGACGATAGACATAATCCACGATCGAATAACGATAACAGACAACTATGGACTACGAGAAACAACAACTTTCAAAGAAATAATTATCAGGGAAATAATTACAACCATAGACATCAGAACTATAATGCGGGTAACTACAATAATGTTAGGGCAAATTACCCAGGATCGTACAATAATTCTTCGAGATTTGATAATAGGCTAGTTATAATAAAAATGACTATAATAATAATAGATTTAATAATGATTATAATTACAGATATAACAGACATTATAACGATTCAAGATGCATTCAAAGATATAACGATAATCATAATTTTGGAAATCGAGGAACAAATCAAGTATGCAATTGTAAATATATATTATGATCAATATATCTCAAATAATATAATTTTGGAATAATTGAAATGATAATGGAATAAATAATTTATCAGAATGATTCATAAGAATAAGAATCATAATGATTATCGTTATATCTTTGAATACATCTTGAATCGTTATAATGTCTGTTATATCTGTAATTATAATCATTATTAAATCTATTATTATTATAGTCATTTTTATTATAACTAGCTCTATTATCAAATCTCGAAGAATTATTGTACGATCCTGGATAGTTTGCTCTGACGTTGTAATAATTCGCGTTATAATTCTGATATCTAGGGTTGTAATTATTTCCTTGGTATCTGGGGTTATAACTATTTCCTTGATAAATATTTCTTTGAAAGTCATGGCCTCTTGCTGCCCATCGTTGTCTGTTATCGTTATTCGATCGTGGATTATGTCTATCGTCGTATCTGACCACCTGTTTGTTTTCTTCAACTTTCATGCCTCTTTGTCTTTCCAAATGTTTTACGCTTGTTTCTTCTTCAGTCTTTTCACTTAAAGAAAGAACTAAACCTTGTACTGATCTCTGCCTGCAAATCAATACCTCAATCTAGAAAGTTTTTTAATGTATTAAAAGGTATTCATGCTTTTTTCTCAATATCTGTTATCCATCACAATAAATTTATTGATTTGCAATTAAGATTAGGGTTAAAATCCAAAAATATTGATGCCTTGAGTTCTACACGTTGGGGATCCCATATTAGAACTATAGAGGCAGTAAAAATGACTTTCCCTGCAATTATTTCTTATCTAGAAAATGGTGATGTGGTGAAAGCAAAGGGAATTTTATATATTCTTTTACAATATGATACAATTATGTGTACGTTTATATTCCAAAAATTATTATCTATGTGTTCCAATATTTCTATTTTTTTTGCAAAAATCAGATTCGGACATATCAACAGTATTGGCTCTTATTGAGTCTCTTATCAGTTCTTTGTCAAATTTAAGAAATAATTCGTATTTTTCTTCACTATTTACCGAAGTAAATAAATTTTGCAATTTATATAATATAAAAATAACAAATAAAAGAGCAAATATACCTTCTACCATTTTGAATAATTATATAGATGATATTGTTTCTTCTAATCATTCTGATCAAACAGAAACTTTTTATAAGTGTCATGTCTTTTATCCAATTTTGGATATTATGATAAATGAATTAAAAAAGAGATTTTTCCAAGAAAACACAGATGTTTTAATAGCTATAAATGCTTTACATCCCTCCTCCCCCATTTTTTTAAATAATGATATCATTAAACCATTTATCTTACATTATAATCTTCCTGATCCAATGAGGCTTATATTTTAACCTATAATAAAAAACACGAATCTACGTGTAAATCAATAATAGATTTGATAAAAATCTTACCCATAGATATATTCCCTCGTATATTTAATTGCCTTAAAATTGCGTTAACTATACCTTTTAATTCCTGCTCATGTGAAAGATCGTTTTCAGCATTAAAACGGGTGAAAACATATCTTCGATCGACAATGGGTCAGGAACGATTAAATTCGTTGGCTCTATTGAGCATAGAAAAAAATATTATTAATACCATTCCTATAGATCACATTATAGATGAATATGCAATAATGACTAGCCGGCGTAGAGAACTTATTTTATAAATAATTTAACCTTATAATTTTTGAAACGCAATTTTAGGCGTTAGTATCTGCGAGTAAATATATCGTTTAATATTTATTTTATAAAATTTTTTTTCATATCCAAAATTAGCTAAAAGACATGGTGCTTATAAAAAATTCTTTTTGAGATAGGAAAAATCAGAAAAAAACAATAAATGCTTTCTTTTGATATGACCAAAGTTTCTGAAAAATTTAATTAAAAATATTTGAATACATTGACAATACAATAATATATAAGATATTAATTGCTTTCATCATATCACTCTGGTACTTATTTTCTAGCTCCCAAATTATTTATTTCTAATTTGCCACACTTAAATTGTAAATAACTCAAGGCTTCAATATATTTGCATAATTTCTTCCAAACATAATTTCTTCCAAGATTTTAGGTGTTTTTGCTTTATCAATATATCTAACATACTAGATTTTGATATGAGTTAACATCGTGTATGTCATGGCTATGACTGCAAATTAACCAGCATCTATTATTTGTGTGGCTTTCAATTTAAGATTATTACTACAGCTGCTGAGAGCATATGATTGCATAATTAAGATGAGCAACAATGATCAACTGTCCAGTAGTTTATGTAGGATTAAAAATGGAAGATAATCTTTTAGAAATTTAATATCTCACAATAATTTTCTCGATTACTTATCTAGCTTCCATCATGTCATCTAAGAGGAAGCTCTAACCACCATATAGTTTTATGATTTGGATTGGTCGTTTATATTCTCTTCTTCAAGAATTGTTGATTTGGTTAGGCCTATAAATTTTTCCTTATTAGTCCATTCTATAAAACTTTGTCTAAAATGGTAAGAGAGAGTTATATTAGTTTCATGACCTTTTGTTAATGTTAGTTGCTTAGAATTATATTACCTTATGGGGTTTTTAAAAACATTAACAATTGAGGCATATGTATGAATTAATTAATCGGTTTTATCACTTGTAATTCTTTAGACGCGAAATTTTTTATATCAGCAATTTAAAATACTTTATACTGTAGTAAATCGATTTTGTATTGAAAAATTTGTAGAAATGTATTTTTTTAATTATTTATATTCTAGTTTTAATTATTTATATTCTAGTCTTAATTATTTATATTCTAGTCTTTTATATTCTAGTCTTAATGATATTTATATTCTAGTCTTAATGATCAATATTCTAGTCTTAATTATTTATATTCTAGTTTATTTTGTACGTATAATATAATAAAAAACAAAATATGAAAATAAGAATAATCCTTCAAGAGTTTAGTAATTTTTAAAAATATATTCATATATACCGAGCAAAAGCGGGCCGAAGGCCCGCAAATTAGGGGGTATGGGGGGCGAAGACCTCCATAAAATTTTTTTAGTTGAGCCCCCTGAGATTGTAAAGGCTAGCGACGCCCCTGGTTAAACGACTTCATTTGAGTCTATTTTTAAAAACGGCTAACTCAATATTTTATACAGATGAATATTACGCAAGCTTGAAGATTTTATTCAAAGATGGGCCGTAGGTCTAAACATCTAATAGCTAAATCTCAAGGCTTAGGCAATATTTTTCGAGCTAAAATATTGAGTTAGCCGTTTTTAAAAATTGGCTCCAAATGAGCCGTTTAACAAGATATAATCAATTACCAGTTTATTATAATAAAATTGTTTCTCTTTTTATCAAAATTCATTTACGATACAAAACGACGTTTGTCCTCCATTGCACAAAAAATGAATAAAGACGATAAAAAAAACGGAGATAATGATACAAAAATTAAATTTATTCAAGATGGGAAGAATCTTGATGATGCTAAAGTTAAGATTGAAGGAAGGGAAGATGCTTTCACAGGCTTGACTAAAGAAGAATTGATGGAATACGCGAATGATCCTTTTTGGGTAAGATTGAGGTGGTTCCTATTCATTTTGTTTTGGTTGGTTTGGATAGCCATGTTGGTAGTTGCAATTGTACTTATCATAAGGGCACCAAGTTGTTCAACTAAAAAGGCAGAAAATGAAGCGAAAGATTCTGCAATTTATCAAATATACCCAAGATCCTTTAAAGACTCAAATGGGGATGGTGTTGGGGACCTATTAGGCATATTTTATTTGGCAATTTATTAATATATATATTTTTAGGAATTGTATCAAAATTAGATTATATTGCCAAATTGAACCCAAAATTTGTTTTGATTAATTCTCCACTTCAAACGAATCCACTTCTTCAAGATGAGGGACTTGTTAATTTTACTAAAATAAATACTGAATATGGAACAAATTCTGATTTTAAAGCTCTAATTGATAAAATTCATGAGAAAGGTTAGTTTTAGTATGTATATTAATTCACAAGTAATATTCTTTAGGGATGAAGGTAATTATGGAATTAGATATACATCATTCCAGCAATTTACATCCATGGTTTCAAAAATCTCTTGCTGGTACAACTAGACATAGAGAGTTTTATGTTTGGGAAAATGGTAATGGTGGAAATCCACCCAGTAATGAAGTAAAAATTAAAAAAAGTATTGTTTTTCACCAATTTAATACAGCGGAGTTTTTGGGTTGGGTCTACATGGACATTTTCACCAGAAAGAAATCAATATTATTTGAGCCATTTTGCTTCTAAATTACCCAACCTTAATTTAAACAGTGAAGCTTTGAAAACAGAAATCAAAGATATTATTGAATTTTGGTTGAAATATGATGTTGATGGTTTTCTCTTTCCTAATGCTGATATATGGTTTAAATATATCCCAACAACAACTTTAAATATATCATCAATGGTAATAACAATTTTTATTCATATATAATTCTTGAAATAGCCTAAAAATATTACCCTTGAAGAATATAAAACCAATGACTTGATTTCATTTATCAAAGATGTTATTGAAAATGCTAACAAAAATAGAAGGTATTTTATTTTTCAATGTCAAACAATTTTTCTTTTTTTAGAATTATGTTAGTTGAACCATACTTAGAAGACAGCACAATGCTTTATGGCTCTAAAGCTGATATAGTTGTTAACAAAGCCCTAACACAGATCAATGGAAATTGTGATGCTCAATGTGTTGCTAATTATGTACAAAATGTCAGGAAACAAGTACCAGAAAAGAAAGGGACTTGGATGGTTTGTAAATTATTTGATTTTATTATAAATAAAATAACAAATTAAAGTTGGGAAATAAAGATGTAAGCAGAATAACATCCAGGATGGGAAGCCAAACTTATGTAAATGCACTGAATGCCTTACTTTTATTATTACCTGGTACATCCTTACCTTATTATGGTGATGAAATAGGTCTTACTGACAACCCTCTATCATCCCTTCAACAATCCTATGACCCTTTATGCAAAATTCCTTTCAAAGTATCTTATTTTCATAATCCAGATTTTATAAAATTTTATTTCTTAATTATAATATGAGCATGTCATTTTAATTTGAGTCTTGATCCAAGTTATATTATAATATTCTAAACCTTATTAAAGTAAGCAAGCATTTTCTATCATATTTTATTTATCTAGGGTGAATGTAGAGATATGTTTAGATCGCCCATGCAATGGAAACCTCAAAATAATGCAGGCTTTTCCAATGTTTCCTCTCAATCTTGGACACCTGTCAACCAAAATTTTGAAAGCAATAATGTTGAGGTAACATTTTGATTTGAGATGATGAATATGATACATAAATATAATAAGTGTTAAAAATTGCTTAGTAAAAGTAATGAGCTATAGTTACCTTATAAATTATTTATATAACTCATCATTTTAAATAATAATTTTGAGATTTTAAAATTATAAATATGAAATTTAAATAAAATAAAAATGACTACTCAAAAAACAAATATATTTGATTCATTTCAAATAATTTGAATTAGTTAAGAATTATTCTATCAAATAAAATGAATTATTTGAATATTCTACAAATTATTTCTATAATTTGTTTATTTGACAAATTTGGGAAAACTTTTCTTATTTGAAACTAATTCAAATAAAAAACAATAAGGAAAACTCTTTTCCTTAAAAACTTGCTTGGCTTATAAATTAATAGAATAAAGTTTGCTAATAAATTGATCGCATATTCTTATATTTTTTTCTGTTTTAAATTAAATGTGGAATAAAAAATTCTATCAATATTTTCATATGAATCATTTAATATTTAAAAAAAATAAATAATTGGAATCGTATATAAATAGTAAATTTTATTATTGAATAAGATAATATTTGTTTAATGAAATGAATTTATATTCGTTTTTAAAGTAAGACATTATATTTAATAAGCAGTTATTTTAAATTTAGAGAATCATCATAAAGTTAATGATGGTTATATATATAAATATTTAACATATTTTAAAAAGTTGCCAAATTTATTTACTGGGACATTATAAGAACCAATTTTTTATTTAATGTTTTCTGGCTAAGTCTGGGAAATAATATAGTAGTTATAATATAAGAATTATTTTATTTGTTAATTTAAAAAATATTTGATGAATGTTGGTATATTTAACAATATAAGCATAGTTTTTTACAGATTAAACAAATTAATCCATTTTAAAATTGTATAATTTTTCTAAATCTCAGTTTGAACCTAGCTAACATTTATTAAAAACAGTTTTTTTAAAATTGTTTTATTAGCTTTCCATATAAACTAATTTTTTTAAAGAAAATATTACATATTGTCTATTACTCCAAAAATTGAGGAAATTTACATTTGTATCTTGATATAAATTTTAGACTTTAGAACAAACCAACAAATACATTCCAGTATTTTCCCAACTGATGGCTCTCAAAAAAACGGATCCATTCTCTGGTGGTCATTTTAAAATCATCTCTCAGAATCCTAACATTTTTGCTTTTGTGCGCAAATGCCATGATTCCCCTAATTACATTACCCTCATCAATCTTGGAAAGGTTAAAATAATTAAAAATTAACTAACCACATAATTTTTTTAGGAGACATCAACTTTTGTAAACAATCGAAATGTCACACAATTATCTGATAAAGCAGAAATTGTTTTGGATTCCTTGAAAACAAAAGCCTCTCTAACCCCACCCAAGGTTGAGAATTTATTGCAGCCCATGACTCTTGTGCCTGGGCAGGTTATTGTGCTCAAACTTAAAGAATAAATAATATCCCACACTGCCTTTACTTAACTATTTTATTTTAAATATATATTATAATGCTTAAAATATAAACACTTTAAAACCTTCAAATTAAAAATATTTTTCCAAATTCAATCTAAATATATTTAAAAAAACTTTTTTTTTTTATATTTCCCTATGCTTTAAACGTATATAACTGCTATCACTTTAAAATAAAATTTATAATTATTTTTTTTTGTGTTAATTAACATTTTTATGAAAATGATATATATTTAAAAAATTCCAAAATAAATAGATTCCGTTTCTAAACACGATCTTAATTCAGCCAATTCTTTTTTAATTTTTTTAAGCTTGTAGAGTGTTGTGAACCTCGACTATTGTCATTCAATAGAAAAAATATATGATAAAAAGTCACCAAATGGTAGAGTAAATTCAGTAAGATCTATAGTATCCTTGTTAGAAAAAGGGGAAGCACAAAATTTTTATATTAAATTAAGCATATAAATTATAACATGATTGCTTCCTGATCAAAGTTACATATTTTTGTTTAAATTAAATATTTTTTTGTAAATTATAATACCTAGGGAAAGTAATTTATTCGTCATAATATTTCAAACATATTTTAAACGTAAAAAGATTTATAAACAACTTGCCAATTTTTCAGCCCCCTAGTTATTCTTATTTTTAAATAATCTAAACATTCCATTCAATAAAATACTTCCAGGACTAATTATTTTTACTTAAATTTTTGTAGTTGGGCTTTTAAATAGCATCCAATTTTAATTAGCATAAATAACTTAATATATTATAATACAGTTTAAATTATATTTTATTGGATTTGCCCCCTTCCCCATCCGTTCACCTCATAAAATCAAGTGCTATTTACAACAGATTTTTGCTATTAGCGGGCATTCATTGCCTACAAAGTTGTTAGGACGAATTAGAAGTTTGAAATCATCACTGACTTCTATAAATAAAAAACTATTGATTTTACGAATTTAACAACACTTTAATTTACTTGCATCATTTTAATGATTTTTGGAAACGATTATAAATTAAACATTCTTTAAAAAAATCTTGAAGTATTTTTTTTGAAAAAGGCAAAAGTTGTCACCACAGATATAAATGAATTTTTAAAAGTTTTGATCGACAGTCTTAAAAGAAGAGGGAAAATCGCACAAATATTTTATTCACATAATTTATAATTTGTATAAACAAATGACATTTTATTTACATAAATTAAAAAATATATTTTGTTAAATTTTTTATAAATAATGCCCAGGGTAATTACTTTATTTACGTCATAATATCTCGAACATATTTTTGTTCGATGTTGTAATAAGTTTTAAAAATAACGTCAATTTTTCTGCCCTCTAGCTATTATTGAATGATCTATAGATGCAATTCATTATTACAAGGATTTATTATTTATACTTAAATTTAGCAAATTTTTTAGAATGGTATAAATTAATTTAAAATCTATAATAAAATATGTAATTAAATATTCATTTTTTATTAAGTCAAAAATTTTTTAAAAATGATTTTATTCTCTTGAAATATCATTTAAACGTAGGCGTGGTCATGATTCGATAATAACATGTTCTGTGTGTATGAACATTCTTTCTTTAAAATATTGATGAAAAAGGTTTTAGGGTTTAATAAAAAAATTTTTTATAGTAAATAAACACTTTTGAAAAACCATAATTTTACAATAAAAGAAAGGGCTTAATTTATTTATAAGTATTGTTTAACATAAGTTGATTACCTTCAAAAATATATTCCCTATTTAAAAATAAAACACTTGAATTCATATGCCTTTGCTTTATAATAATAGAATCCAAATTAAGGAAATATTGCACTCTGGCGTATGAACAGATTCTTACATAATTTATTTTGTATTCTTTTTATAAACTTGGAAAGCTACCATGATTCAATATTTATATCCATAAAAATAAATCTCAAAATTTCGGGTGTCCATTTTTATTCTTTATTTAATATAAACCTTGGAATAGTGTTGTTAAAAAGACCGAAAAACGACCCGATTAAGATTTTACCCAAAACAATATTAGGTAGCCTCGAGATTTGGTAAGATCGACCTGAATCGGTCTTTTTAACAACCCTTGGGTCATTTCTCCAATTCAATAATTGCCTTGAAAATAAATCTCTAAAAATGCGAGTGAAAGGAAAAAACCTTTCTTATAATATTGATTAGGAAAATCAATTATATATATATGACAACAGCCAGGTTCATTTTCTCTCGATTAAATGAATTATAAAAAAAATATATTATTGAAATTTATAATTTTAAATATACAAAAACAATAATTACCACTAAAAATAATGAAAAATTTCTTTTTTTTAAAATATGATTATGCAGTTTTGAACACATAACTGGGATTTTTAAAAATTTGGCTGACAGGGATTCGAAATTTTTTAAAATTAAGGAGGTAGACTATTAAAGCTCTACAAATACCTGTCCGAGTTGACCTCAGACACTTTCTATTAGATACAAATAAAATTTTCACGTACTCGGACATTGGCAAAATTATTTTATTTCTAGAGCCCTTATAATTCTGCGCGTTCCTTGAAAAATATACTCCTCAACTAAAGTTTCTTTTCTTATTTTATATTTGCTCGTTATTAAATAGGAGTTTAGATTTGGCTCTGATCTTTGGAGGAGAAAATCAAATCCATAATACTTAAAAGCAGGTCTGGTGCAAGCTTTTAATATTCCACTGCTTCATTAAAAAAATGACCATCTTCAATTTCTCATGACATAATTTTTGAAAATATTTTTTAAATATGCTACGATATTGTGCAATCCTTTTACGCAGAATGTCAAACCTATATAATTTGATATTTTTTTAATGAATCGAATCTTTTTTTAAAAATTTAAAGGAGCTAACCAAATTGTTATAAGCCGAATTAAACAGGTTTTTATTTTATAAATATTAGATTTTGAAATTTAAAAAATAACAATATATCAATCAGAACCTGAGATACAAATTGCACAGCCCACCCCGGGTAAAATGTTTTATTTTGGCATTTCATTTTGCAATGTATGTTTGATTGATTAAAGTACAGTAAAAGTCTATAAGGACAAATTAAAATGAAGTGGTTGATTATTTTCTAAAATTTAGTAATCTGTATAAAAAAAAATACCTTTGAATAATTATAAATATAGGCATTTGTACAAAGACGATGATTTCGTAAATCTTAATTCAGATATTTCCGATTTGGTTGGTCGAGATTTGATTAAGAAAATCCAATACCTCTATTCTATAAACTAATAACCATTTTTTGTGGATTTTGAAAAGGCGAGTTATATCCTTATGAATCACATATTCCCTTTAGATATCATTTTTTAAGCTTTAAAATTTTACCCTACCATCAATAAATCTACATCCTTCCCAGTTAATCATACTTTTTCAAATTTCAGAGCATATTTTATTCAACTTATTTATTTTTTATTCTCGTAACGAAATTACTATTAGTTACAGTATTCTCTCATAAATCGGGTTTTATCATTATTCGATTTTAATTATAAAGGTCCAATTCCATGTTTAATTACTCACTCTTTTTTAAGGCTGTTTTATGACCTTATTAAAAAGGCAGAATATATGCAATACGAGAAAACCTCTTGGGGAGCACAATTTCAATTATGAGAAATTCCCGAATATTTTATTTTTAACACTATTTTAAATAAACCCGATTATATTTTTTATCGAGTACTCTTGATTTTCTTAATTCTTAGCAATCTGTAACGGTGGTATTTAATCTTGAATAATATTGTTAATATGTGTTAACGGAATCATATAGCAAAATTAAATGATTCTAGATAAATGTCTATATTATTCCAGGCTAAGGCAAAGAAAAAACCAAATAATTATATTAATCCTCGTGATACAGATGGTTTAAAAGGAATAAAATATTGGTAAAATAAGAAAAAAATGGCATATTAAAACGGGGAAGAGAACTTCTAGATATCTGGTTTGCGCTAATATTGAATGCCTTAAAAATTATTCAGATCAAGATATATTTGGTGATAGTGATACTCCGGTCGAAGATACAAATGGAATCGATCAGAAATAGAAATATAAATTTGATAAAAATAGATAGCATGAGTAATAAAGTAGAGATAGATATGTTCAAAAATCAATTTACGTCAATGCATTACGGTTTCTTTTCCCTTGAATATTATTTATGATTTTTATAGATATTTTATCTTTTCGGTTTATTTTAATAGATATAGAAATAAAATAGTTGAAATCTTATATTTTGAATCAAATTGTATTTTCAAAAATTTGATATAAATCTGATTATCTTATTAAGACGTAGTTCTAAACATGATATTTGCCAAACTTTTGAAAACATTAATTCTAAAAATTCAGTCCAATATGTAATGCTTAACTAGTTAGTTTAATTCTTCGATACTTTTGATACATTTAAAATAAAAAAAAGTTATTAAGAAAATTGGTATTAGGATTAAAGATAGAGCGAAAATATAGAAGCAGCTAAAACAATTATAATAAAAAAAATTAAATAAATATATTAAAAAAAAATAATCAACATTATATAATCATTTTATCGTATTTTAGAATATAACAATGTCTGGCTGTATCTTTGTTTTTATAATTATGACATAAAAAACTAGTCTAGACTTCTGGTTTTGGAAAATGTGATACCAAAATGGCTACGATGAAATGATTAAATTGTGTTATAATATATTTTTTCACTACATTTCTTTCGGCCTTCTCAAGACAAAAGTTTCTTAAAAACTTTAATCCTTTTTTTTAAATGTATGATAAATAGTAGTGCTGTAAAATTTACTATAAAAAAGAAACGCGTTATCGTTACTCGCCCTTCCAAAAAAGGAACGCATGGTTACTGACTATTCAAAAAAGTAACGGATTACTCTTTACAAAAATTATACATTATATACAAGATAAATATTTATTAAACTATGCAAAAAGTTTTTATTTTAAAAAAGCTTAATAGTTGATCTTCACAAGGATCTTCATTAATTTCCTCATTAAAAAATTTTTTTTATCATCATCAGAAAATATTCTGGTATGTGTGTTGGATAAAGGAATTAAGTCTATTCTTTCTTTATCAAGATATTTTCTCAAACTGGAAATAAGTTCTAGATTTCTTCCTTTTGACCTCTAATTTTATCCAGGGCCAATCCAATTTAAATTGCGGGTGAATTATTGCGGATAGTATATACTCATCTTTATTGTGTTTGAATCTATTGAAAATATAAATTGTAAGCAATATTTGAACTCTATATCTTTATGCCACCCAGGAAT